GGACCTCATTCGAGACGAGATGAGCCGCTATCCCGCCGGATCGGCAAACCGCATCTTGCTGGCCAAGTGGCTGGGCGACATTGACGCAGACATTATGGCCGCCGGCTCCCAGAACATGACGTCGCAAGACTGGATGCTGCTGGCGCTGAGCGGCATTGGCGGCCAGGCGTCCCAGCACAAGCTCGGCCGAGTCTATGTGCAGCGCCTGTTGGAGAATGGCGATGTCCATGTTGCGGTAACGATTATGCTCGGGATGGGCGACTACAATGATGCCATTGAGGTCTACATCTCACACAAGCGGTATATGGAGGCTCTCATCCTCACCTGCCTGGCCTTTCCCAGCGTCTGGGAGCGGCAAGCTGCCATTGTGCGCAAATGGGGCGAGTGGGCCGTCAAGCATGGCCAGCAGCAACTGGCGATTCGTTGTTTTGCCTGTACCGACCAGGAGTCTTCGGAGCCATGGACCTCGCCATCAGCTGCCCAGCTCAACTTTCAGAACATCACCCCGAGCATCCCCGAGGTGCTGAGTCCTCCTCTGTCACCCCCGGGCATCCAGAGAGGCCCCCAGCGCAGCGTCGCCAAAGCATCGGCGCTGAAGCTGATCACATCGTTTGGAGATCCCAACCAAAAGGCTAAGTTCTACTCGCATGTCGACGGCGGCCAGACACCGATTGCGGCTGGAGTGACGCCGATTGCTGAGTCGGCCATCTCCCCGGGAGGCGCCTATGATCCCGCGACTGCGTTCCTCCGCCCGTCGGGCAATAGCAGGTTCAACACGCCGACATCAGCCCGCCCTATCGGTCAGGGCTTCAGCCGCGGACGTTTGCCCTCTATCGGAGAGGCCAACAAGCCCCTGGATAACATCGCAAGTATCGTTGACGCACCCCAGAAACGGCCGAGCCATTCTCGCAAGTCGTCCGCCCCTCAAGATAACATGGCGACTGGGCTCGCTATGCAGCGCGCTGCCACGGCCAGCCCAATGATGATGAGGGACCAGTACCAGCGAGCCATGCAAGGATACGGAGGGGAACGTCCGCCGTCTCCCGACCATAACATCATGAGTAGGCTGCAGGAAGTCCATTCGGCACAGCGAAACGGCTCCCGTGACCGGATCCCCGCTCACCTAAACCTGCAGCTGCAGACCATGCAGCCACCAACGATGGAGGCAATGTCCCCCTCCAGCGCGGGCCGGAGTCACAAATCGAATGCCCGACAGAGGGATGATTACATCCACAGCTTGGAGGCGGCTCAGAATTATCCCAGGAGAGCC